CTCCAGGAGCCGAATCTGATGCAAGCACAAAAGAGTCTTTATTGCAAGCTCCAGCCTGGACTCACAACCATTCCCAAAGCAGCGGTCCCAAGAAGTGAGTCCTGGCCCTTGTATTGCTTGAATTCGGGACCCCCAAAAGCCCACCAGAGACCAAGATCGATGTAAACAGCAAAAAGGTGTATATTCTGAGCTAGCTAGGTCCTCCAAGTGCACACAGCAACTGGTGACGTTGAGAGGCCCCGAGCCCAGGGTTTGCAGCATTTTATACATTCTTTGGAGAAGGCAGGGACCCCCCACATACTTCATAGCATCTCTTAGCAAATCATCACACACCGCGGGGAAAATCAAACAACAACTTTAAAACATGACAAGTTGGGTAGGAGTGATTGGTTACTACAAAGGGGGATTCATTTGAACTGATTGGTTTAAGCCAAGATGGGTGTTCCTGCTGAACTACATGGTTTCCCAATACCATAAACTACTGGGAGGGTCATCTGGCATTCCAGGTATTTCCCTGTTTCATGCTGATTGGTGGCTGCTAGGGGGTTGTTATGGGTTCCCACCTAGCCTGACTGAGTCAGGGACACCTGGAGCAGCAGATCTCTCTTGTCATTTGTAGATAAACAACTTAGCAGGGTGGGAATGTGCCTAGGAGTGCTCTGTGGGTCTTTCCAAGGACAAAAGTCAGGTCCCTTCCTTGGATAGGCTTTGCTCTGAGGTAGAGGCTGGTTTTTCACCTTTGTTCAGTGAGATTTTGTAGGTTTTTTGGGGATACTCTATGCATCACAACATCACACAGCAAATCATTTCACACCGCAGGAAAAATCAAACAACAACTCTTAACATTGATTAGCACATTCACTGGTGGGAACAAATTGGGTAGGGGTGATTGGTTAGTACAAGAGGGGGGTTCCTTTGATTAGTTTAGGCCACGAGGGGTGTACGTGCTAAACTACATGGTTTCCCAACATGTTATCAACCACCATAAACTACTGGGGGGGGGGGGTCATCTGGCATCCCAGGTATTTTCCCTGTCTCATGCTGATTGGTAGTTGCTAGGGGGTTGCTATGGGTCCTCAGGTAGCCTAACTGAGTCAGGGACACCTGGAGCAGCAGATCTCTCTTGTCATTTGTAGATAAACAACTTAGCAGGGTGGGAGTGTGCCTAGGAGTGCTCTGTGGGTTTTTCCAAGGACGAGGACCACGCCCCCTTCCTTAGGACAGGCCTTGAGGTAGAAGCTGTTTTCTCAAAAATGGAGTTACATCAGTTTCTCAGTGTGGGACTCCCTTTTTAACTGAGATGCCAAACAGGTCAATGGAGCAGGAGAAAAGACTCAGCTATAGTTGGTACCAGGTCAAGGAAGCCTCTTGGTCCCCAAGCACCCAAGATTCTTTTCCCACTCAGAACAACGACAGGGAGGCAAAGAACCAAGTCAGAGAAAGGCGTCCCGTTTAGAAAGTCATTTTGTGTCAGCTGACTGAGGCTTTTCTCCTCTGGCTAGAGACAATAAAAGTCAGGCGGCATAGACAGAAGCATCCCATCATGCCACTAAGAACCCTCAGCAGCTTCCCTGAGGAAATCCAGATCCATTCCTGAGGGGATTCCAGCAAAGATCAACAGAAACCCATAAGTACCAGGTAAGCCAGGCAATGAAAACATCACCATAAAGGCTCTGCAAACTGAAATAAACTGCAAAAATAGAGAAGAGTTACATGCTGAAACTAATCAGTGAGACAGCCTTCAAAAAGAAATTAGAGTCCAGAGTCTTCTAGCATAAGAGAGAAAATGTCTAAAATATCATTGGTTAATATCTGGAATCAAGAAAATTATGACAGAATGAGAAAATGAATTATTGCCATCACTGAAAGAAAATCAAAATTGGTTTGTTCAAAATCATCTGAAAAAGGAGTTTAAAGGACTTTTATAAAAATTCTTCATCAACCGATTATAGATATTCTAATAGAAATTAGAATATTTCAGCAAAAAAAAAGAAATTTATAAAAAAGAAGCAAATGGAAATAGCTCTTGGAAATTACAGAATTGTAGAAAACGATAATAGAAAGAAAATGTTGTTGGAGGAACTAAATAGTGAAGCCAGAATTAGGCAGTCCACAAGGGTAAATCAGTCAGGTCTGGTCAAGGAGGCCAATGTTGAGTGAGTCTGGGAAGTTGGAGACTGCCCCCTTATCAAGAACCTGCCCCTGCTTCAACCTGTTGCCAAGGTAACCTGTGCTTGCCTAGAAGTGCTTCTCTAATGTTCAAACTTCAACATGTGGGAAGCTGGATAACCAGCCATATCAATAGTAAAGGGGAGATTTGAAAGACAGAATTGGAAAATTTTTAATTTTAGGAAAGTTAATTTACATAATGTGAATGACAAGAAAATAGATGATAGTCTTTAAAAAAATAGTGAACAGAGACTCCAGATTCTGTTAAGACAATGTCAAAAATACATTTATATCATCAGAGTCCCAGAAGAAAAGAGGGAAAAAAAAGAAATAAGGCTGAAATAGTGCTTAAAAAAAATAATGACTGAAAACTTTCCAAATCTAAAAAGAATCAAAAACCTACAGATCTAAGAAATTGATTGAACCCCAAAAAACAGAAATCCAAAAAAACCCCAAAAAAACCATATGCCAAGATGGATGGATAATTAAACTTTTAATTAGCAAAGATAAAAGAAAGTCTTGAAAGCAAGAAGAGGGAAAGGATATAGACCTGTTCTGGAAGATAAACTGAAATGAAACAGATTTCTCATTTGGAATTAAGGAGGTCAGAAGGCACAATACTTAAAAACTGTAGGAGAAAACATTGTCAGGACAGAATTCTGCTTCTGGTAAACACTATCCTTCATGGACAATGAGGAAATAAAAACAATCTCACGTGAGAGAAAACTAAAAGAATTCATTGTGGGCAGACCTTCCTTAAAGAGTGGTTAAAATAAATGCTTCAAAAGAAAGGAAGGGATAAAAATGGGAATATCACAGCATCAGGAAGGAAGAAGGAATAACCCAAAGAGCATTTTCCTCATAAGTTCTAGAAACTGAGTCAAAAATCACAGCACCATCTTGCATCCAAGATGATGACATTTGGAGATGGTAAAGGGACGGGAGTAGAAGGAGGCATTTGCATTTTATGTGATAAAATATTGAAACTAGTGCCCTCTTTAAGTCAGGTATGCATATTATAACTCTCAGAGCAACCACAACAAATGCTACTCAAAAAGATACACTCAAAAATATACCAGGAAGAGAGAAAGGAACAGAGGCATGGAAAACAACTAGTAAACTAACAATAAAAAAAATCTAGATTGAAATGCCAGCCTATCAATAATTACTATGATGTAAATTGCCTGCAGAGACCAATCAAAAGATGTAAATATTCAAAGTTTGGATGCAAAAGCACAATCTAACAATCCTGCTTCAATAAACTTGCTTTAAATTCAACAAGGGTAAAATATTAAAATGTGGGCAAAAAATATCATGCAACTATTATTTTTTATAAAACATAAGAAGTGGCTAGATCAATATAACAAGGAAGATGACTAGAGAGAAAAGAGGACGTTACATTATAATAAAAGGATCAGTCCACCAGGAAGGAAAAACAATCCTAAATGTGTGTGCATCAAATAACAGAACCTCAACAAACATGACCCCCAAACTGACAGAACTGAAAGGAAAAATAGACACAAGCATAGTAAGGGATTCTTCGGCCCTCTGTAGCAACCCATAGAAGTAGAGAGGAAATCATCCAGTAAACAAAAGTCAATCACAAATGGTTACATACTGGTTCCATTTCTAACACTGCTGAAATCACACAGTTTTGGAGATGGAGGACAGAGTAGTTGCTGCCAGGCTTTGGTTCAGTTTTAAAAGGTATCCTACTGATGAAGTGCTCCAAATATTGACTGTGGTGGTGGGTACACAGATCTACATGGGTAATAAAACTGTGTAGAACTCAACACACACACACACACACACACACACACACACACACACACACGAAAACAAGGAAAACCACGGAAATCTGAGTAAAACTGGTGAACTGTTGATGCCAAGAATCTGACTGTGACATTGTGACATCATATGGCCTGGCCTGCCTGGCCTGCCTGGCCTACGGGCTCTGGAGTGGCCAGAGCTGTCTGCATATTGCCTTCTGCTTGCTTTACTTCTAGGTAGGAAGTGGGTGCAGCAGTCTGAGGTTGGGCCATGCACAGCAGAAGCTTAGCACCTGGTGATGGGGAAGACACATCATGACAATGACATCTGGAGTGGTGAGGTTTTCCTCACAGGTTCCAAAGAATGGATTGCTGCTTGGATTCTGCATGCACACATTTATATCACCAAGGATTCGAAACATATCCTCAGTTATTTGAAATCGGCATATTAATCTTGGCTTTCAAAGAGAATGTGAAATTGCTTCATTAGTGTTCCTTTCCAAGTGACTTTTCCCATCTGTTATATTTTAATTTGGCTGAAATTTTGTGTGATAAAACACAGACTCAGTTATGAAATAACTCGATGCCACGTTTAAAGCTCTGTTGAGGTATGGAATGATTCCCAGCCTTAGACGCAGGGCTGAGTAACAAGAACAATCCTAACCTGTGAGGATCTAAAACCAAGGAAGACCAAGTGGGGGAGGGGGAAAGTTTGATGTTGCAGGTCTGTTTACTCCAATTTCCAACAAAATTACAGGTTGTATAGCAAATGTATATTTGCTATACATTTTTTCTTCCTCCTGAATTTCCACCTTCCATCCTCCTCCTCTTCACAGTTGCAGGCTCTTGTTTATATTTCAAGGAAAAGAAGGTCTATTAGTTGTCTCTTTTTTTGAGTACTTCTAAGTACCACACTCAACCAAAGAATGCTGTCTCTGGGGTGTTAACCAAATCAGCTTGGTGTGACTTTGTGTGCTGCTGCCTCATTAATTTACCTGTGAGGACCTGCCTGTCTTCTGGTGTGGCAATGCATACAAGTTTCAATTTCCCAACCCCTTTTACCAGTTTTTCCAGCCAGCAGATGAGTGGAGACCTGGAACTCATGGTTTTCACATAAAGCATTATCATGACCAAGACTCTTATCTCCTAAAAAATGAAAACAAAAAGGAACATGAGAAAGAAATAAAACTCAATAGTAGGAATTTACCTATTATACCAAAAAAAAATCTATTTGTTATTTAAAGTGACGGTATTCATGATAAAAGATTCTACTTTACCTTGGAGTCCTAAACTAGAAAATTATCTTTGTCAGGCAGCAGCTGGAGTTTGCAAACAGAACCGGTGCTAGACCCAGAGATTTACAGTCATGTCTTAAAAACACATATTCAAAATTATTCAAATATATACACTTTTCAAATTCCTTAAGAGAGGGGAGTCATATGTGGCATAGGAAAATCTATTCCAAATGCTCAGCACACTTCATAGGTTTATTTAATATTTAGAAATTTAATAAATGTTGATCCTATTACATATAAAGTTGAACATTTTTAAACTTACATCCTTCTGCATGAGTGCAACGATTTCTTTATATAGATTTTCAAATGTGGAGTTGCTGAGTTGTGGGACACACTTGCATAAAATTTATATAAAAATAAAATTACTTTGCACACGGTTATTGAAATCCACATTCCCTACAATAATGTTAAACTGTTGCCTATTTTCCCAGAGCTTCTTTGGAGTTAGAATCATCCATTTGAAATAACTTCCACAGTTCTGAGAGGTGAAACTTTTCATTGATTGCTGGAGATTATAACATCATTGTCAATTTGATTACATCTTCTCTAGGTATTCTACAAATATCTTTTCCTCATTTTTGTATTGGTTTATTGGTGTTTTTTCACCCATTTATTGGAATTTATTTATACCCTTGAGATATTAACAGTTTGCAACATATTTTGTAATTACATTTGCCACTTTTTTCTTTATGGAAGATTGATTTATTTTCTTGTTCAGATAGATTTCATCCACCATTAGTTTATAGCAACTAGGAGCCAATGTTTTCTACCATTAGTTACAATATTATAATTTATATTTGGATCTATCTGAAAATATTTTTATTTTTATTCAGCTGTATATGTTAGACCTCAACAGTGCCCACCAATACGTGATTCTTCTCTCCTGTCTAGGTTTCCAAAGATGATATTTGCCAGCCTTTAGTAAGTGAAAAGGATGTTTGGGCTAGCTGAGGTCATGGATAAGAACAGATGCGATACGAGTATTATTTCCATGCTGGAGCAAAAAACAGCCCTTTTGTGATTTCATATTGTTTGATTTCCTTAAGGCAGAAAATGTAGAGGGCACGTGTTGAAATGTCAGAGCCACAAGATCCAGCAGTATTCATCTTCAAGTAACATGTGGAAGACAATAGCCATGAAAATTCTCCTGTCCTATATTAGATTTTTCATGATGTTTGTTTAAGTTCAGCCATCTATTCACCTGGAAAACAAATACTATTGCATTTTGCATGATTAAGAAATAAGCACTCTAAAACCTTAAATGTGTTTTACAACTTTATGTTACTAACCTAAGTTTAATGTGTCCTGACTCAGACAACATAATATGACTTTGAAATGAACAGGTTGATGATAATAAACACACACACACACACACACACACACACACACACACACACACACAAATAGTATGTGATGTGGCTCCAGAGCTGCTGTGTAGAGACAACTTCAAGTTGCCCACACATGAGGAAGGTGTCTGAGGTGCTTATCCACTAACCCTTACCATCATTCAAAGACCCCTTGACTGGAGGACCTAATTCACCAGTCTTTCTGGCATTCCCCATTCAACTGAGTAGGTTCCTATGGCCGAAGGAAGCCACTACGTGGAGACTCGTATTTGCTTGTATAGGAAGCAATGATACCAAGAGCATTGGTAAGTGCTGTGGGGTTACAAGTTGGGCATTGGCAGCTGCTGTCAGGTACAAGCAGTGCTTCCTGGTACTTCTCAAAAGGGGAAGTTCTTATTTTCTAGGCAAAGATGGTATATGATTAACTATGACTAAAACCATGACTTCTCCTGTATCCCACAATTTCCGTGGGAATTTGAAAGCAACTTTGCTGAATAATTCTAGCTCATGAGCTTTGCAGTCAAGAGGTTGGCAGGGCCTGAAGCCATCTGAATGGCTGATTTGGGGTTAAAAGATCCATTTTCAAGGGAGCTCCCTCACCTTGGGAGAGATCTGTTGGCAGGAGCCCTTAGTTCCTTACCACAGGAAGCCTCCGGAGTGTCTCGAGAGTATCTTCACAACATGGCAACTGGCTTCCCCAGAACAAGTCATCTGTGGTAGAAAAGGAGAAAGTCAGAAGGGAAAAGACTTTATGAGCTTATCTTAGACGTCTCATACGTTATTTCCTTTTAATTCTGTTTTCTAGAAACAAGTTACTAAGCCAAACCCACACTCAGATTTAAAGCAATTAGACCCCACTTCTTAAAAGAAGGAATATAAAGTAATTTATAAACATATTTTAAAGTCACAGCAGATAACAAGCACTCCTATAATCTAAAGTGAGGAGGTGGACCTTACTCGCATCTTTTATGAGAGAGTAAGGTGGAAAGGTCCAGAAAACATCTGAAATTAGTTTTCTGTGTCCTTCATATCCTTCCAACAATAGGGAAGGGTAGGTTCTCCCCACCCCTGCTACTTTAAGCCCAAGTGAGAAGGGTGTTAAGGAGACTCTTGGGAGAGTTCGACCTATCTGTGGAATGTGCAGGGCCTAAGGACTAAATTCTGGGATAGATCTGAGAAGCAGAGAGTGAGAGGTAGCAAACTTCGTGAGAATCCAGCGGCCCCTCTCTTAGGCAGGGCAAAAGACTGAGTCCTCCAGAAATATATCTACATTGAGGAAGTTGACTCGCCATCATCTAGAAAATGCCAACCCATGGAAACACCTGGAGCCACAATCTGACCCTGTCTTGGTCAGTTTGGGCTGCTATAACACATTACCACAGACTGGGTAGCGTAAACAGAAAACATTTATTTCTCACAGTGCTAGAGGCAACTTTCTTATCTCTTACCTTTAGCCCCAGATTGCCTATTTGTTTTATTTTTGTATTTTTCATTCATGTTTTATTTCATTTTTTTCATCGTAATTGAGGTATGATTGATAAATTGTATATATTTAAGATATATAATATGGTGCTTTGATATATACACACACACACACACACACACACACACACACACACACACACACTGTGTGGCCAACCTAATTAACATATAACACCTTTCATAGTTACCTTATTTAAAATTGGTAATGAGAATACTTATGATGTAGTCTCTAAGCCAACTCCAAGTATACAATGCATTATTAACCATAATTACTGTTCTGCACCTTAGATCACCAGAATTCATTCACCTTATCTGAACATTTGTACCCTCTGACCGTTTCTCCATTGCCCCACTCAGTAACCTCTGTTAACCACTCTTTTACTCTCCGCTTTTATGAGCTCGAAGTTTTTAGATTCCACATGTAAGTGAGATCATGTAGTGCTGGTCCTTCTGTGTCTGGTTTATTTCACTTCGCCTACTGTCCTTCCAGTTCATCCACATGATCACAAAGGGCAGGATTTCCCTTTTTTTAAGGACAAATAATATTCCACTGTGTATATAAACCACACTTGTATTCCCCTATTTCTCTTAGAAGGACACTAATCCTATTCATAAGGGCTCCACCTTCATGAGTTAATTGCCTCCCAATGGCCCTGCCTCTTAAAGTCAACACACAGGGAATTAAATTTTGACATAGCAATTCTGGGTACACAAACATTCAGTTCCTAGCAGAACTGAAGAAAGCAGAGGACAACTGTGAATCCAGGGACTGAGCTGGGAGTCACACCTGACCACCAGGTGACAGGCAACAGTCAAGAACCTCAGAAGAATCACAGCATATATCCCCCAAGAAAGCTTCAAATATCTAGTGAGGCCAGAGGAGACCAGAACTTGAAGACCATGTATCAACCACTGACCCTTTACCATTTCTTTATATTCATCTCTCCCATGGACCCAATTCCAGAGAAATTAAAACGTGAGCAGTTGACAGATGAGGACAGAGGCAGAACTAGGAAGCAGGGAGAAGGTCAACTATGCTTCTTACCTTTCTCTGGACACCCAGCCTGGGTCAGGTCCAAACTGAAGGAAGGAAAAAGCTTCCAATTTCATGAGCATCCAGAGTCTGCATTGTAACCATAGGCCCAAATTGTGTAATTCTTAGACTAGACGAGGCTTTCTAGAGAAACACCGATGAGCATCTGTTAGTATTCAAGACTTCCCTAACATCTCCCACCTCTATCAGGGTATTTTACCCAACAACTCCAGTGCATTAAATAAACTCGTTGTATTTGGAATGTCAGCTGGGTCAGAGATGATATTTTAGAATAATAAAGCAAATCATTCTGAGATGACTAGTAAGATACATTGCTGTTGCTTTGCCCTGACCAATGAGAAAAACTATGTTATTAGTTCCACTTTCTGAATACAGAAGATCTGAAAATAAGAAAGGAAAATTGTGTGTGTGTGTGTGTGTGTGTGTGTGTGAGAGAGAGAGAGAGAGAGAGAGAGAGAGAGGTGTGGTAACTGGTCAGCTGAAAGCCTGGAGATATAAGTTTAAGGGCCAACTCTGTCCAACCGAAGGTGATTTTTTCTCTGGGCATGACTTAACCACTTGGCTCCTTTCTAGAGATACGCCTGCCCTGAAGGCCTCCATTTGGTACCATTCTTCACTGTAAGAATGGTAGACCCATTTTCAATCCCATTGAATTTTAATTTTATCCTTAATTATTCAGTAGGTTCCCCACCTTGGAAGCCAGTTCACTCTTATATGTTTGGGGAAATAAAAACTTTCCAGGAAGTGTATGAGAAAGACATTACTCCTTGACTCAAGGAGTCCACCTTCTGGTTAGGGTAGGAGACCAGGTGTGCCAGATCCTTAGGCTCCCTGATGGGTTGTACTCTGCCTCCTCTAAGCAGACAGGAGCTCTGCCCTCTCTCCAACTACCTGGGCACGCCAAGCTCTGCATGCTCTGCATTTTCAGGAAAACCCTCTGTAGGGCCAACCCCTTGAACACAGGCAGGATTGGCATCCTGTTTCAGTCAGCTTTTTTGTCATTGTGACCAAAAGACTGACAAGAATAATGTAGAGGGGGAAAAGTTTATTTTGGCTCACAGTTTCAGATCTCTCAGTCCACAGGTGGCCAGCTTTATTGTTCTGGGCCCATGGTGAGGCAGAACAACATGGCAGAACGGCTGACGAAGGAAGGAAAGCATCTCAGGACACGACACTAAGAAACAGAGAGACAGCTCCACTCACCAGGGACAAAAATATAAACCCCAAAGGCATGTCCTCAGTTACCTACCTCTTCCAGTTACACCCTACCTCTCTACTTAAACACACAGTTAATCCATGTCAGTAGATTCATGAACTGATTGGGTTAAGGTCCTCAAAACCCAATTATTTCATTCCAAACTTTGTTGCATTATCTCACACAAGAGCTTTTGGGGGACACCTCATATCTAAACCATAACACTCTGTTTGTATCCAGTCAAATAATTTTAAATTCTCTCCCTATTTTCTCTCCAACTGCCCTGCTGTCCTTTTTTTTAATTTTTTAATTTTTTTATTGGTTGTTCAAAACATTACAAAGCGCTTGACATATCATATTTCATACATTTGATTCAAGTGGGTTATGAACTCCCATTTTTACCCTGTATACAGATTGCAGAATCACATCGGTTACACATCCACGTTTTTACATATTGCCATACTAGTGTCTGTTGTATTCTGCTGCCTTTCCTATCCTCTACTATCCCCCCTCCCCTCCCCTCCCATCTTCTCTCTCTACCCCATCTACTGTAATTCATTTCTCTCCCTTGATTTTTTTCCCTTTCCCCTCACATCCTCTTATATATAATTTTGTATAACAATGAGGGTCTCCTTCCACTTCCATGCAATTTCCATTCTCTCTCCCTTTCCCTCCCACCTCTCGTCCCTGTTTAATGTTAATCTTTTTCTCATGCTCTTCCTCCCTGCTCTGTTTTTAGTTGCTCTCCTTATATCAAAGAAGACATTTGGCATTTGTTTTTTAGGGATTGGCTAGCTTCACTTAGCATAATCTGCTCTAATTGCCCTGCTGTCCTTTAAAGAAAGAATTTTACTAGACCATTAACAGCAACAAACACAGGTTACTGTGGGGCATTTTTCCATCAGTGTTAGATAGTAGATTGACTTCAAGGGACAACTGAGTTTTCTACCCCAACCCTAAGAACTGTCTTCATTTTTCCCCTTACTTTTAGTAATTCATTTATTCATTAATCACATAGTTTAGTATTTCTCATAAAAGAGTATTTGTCTGTTTATGCTTCTCCCAGCCTTCATTCATTCATCAAACATTATTGAGTTCCTACTTTGTATACAGTCATATTCTATAAGCTGGGAAGATAAAGACTAGGAAAGTGGTTCTTAATCTTGCCTGATAACTATACTTCATTTGGAAACCTTTAAAAAGGAAAGAAAGAAAGAAAGAAAAAGAAAGAAAGAAAGAAAGAAAGAAAGAAAGAAAGAAAGAAAGTAAGTCACATGGGTCTGTCCCATCCTGAGAGATTCTGAATGAATCCATCTGGTGCAGAACCTGATCACCATCGATTTTTTTAAATTCCCTGAATGATTCTAGTGCAGCTGGGATTGAAAACTGTGAGAAGACAAGGGCATAAATCACAGGTTAAAATTGAAAGCAAGGCCTCAACGCTTCTGAAAGAGAACTCTGAGAAAGGTCCATTTCTTGGCCTGCATGGCACTGCCTGCCCCTCCATCTCTGCTCAGTGTCATCATCTCAACCTGACCACAATTTTAGCAACAGCTCAGGTGAGACATGTGTCACATCTGATTCAAACTGAGCAAAGAAAATGTGTCACTGTCACTTTTTCTCAGCAAAATAACCTTTCTGTGATGTAAGTGTGCAGTGGCTTGGGAAGTGTGTGGCTGCACCCTTCTCAGGTTCAGGGGTTATCTTAGCCCATTTTTCACTGCTATAACAACATATCTGAGGCTGAGAAATGTAGAAGGAGATTTATTTAGTTCACAGTTTTAGAGTCTGAAAGCCCAAGATTAAGCAGACCTTTGGTAAAAGGAAGTGACCACAAGAGATCACATGGACAGATAGGAAGCCAGAGAGTCTCAAGGGGCCAGTCTTGATCTTTTATAACCACCCTCTCTAAAACACTAAGCACTTTCCCTAAGAGCTACTTCCTTCTGTGGGCAGCACCTCCCAAGACCTACTAAATAGTCCCCACTAAGCTCCACCTTTTAAATGTCTCATATCACTCCAGTGGGGACCAAGCCTTCAACATGTGAATGCTTGGGGACAAACTATATTGGGGTCATAGGTTTTGAAAGACATTTATATTTTAAATATTTCTAAAATTTTTATGGCAAGAGAGATAACACCGTAGTTCTATGGAAATGACAGGCAGTTTGTTGTGATTATTTTAAAGAATGAAGGAAGGAAAGAATGAGGTTTAGGACATATTTCAGGCTGAGAGTCTGATTCTTTGATAAGATGCAGAGTTAAAAGCATGAGAAGTCTTTAAAAACAGCCCTTTCACGTTCTCCTGGGCACTAAGAAATCCGTTCTGGCCCTTGGTCGGCTCTGTCCATTTGAGGCCTGGCCCCCACCTCCTGCAGGTGCTGGGAAAGGACCTAAGCTTGAGTGGGGAAAATGCTGAGAACCAGCCTTCCCTCCTCCAAAACCACTACGGGCGGGCGGATGCTCCACGGTGTGCTTCGTGATGCACGTTAAGGTTCCTTTCTTCTCTTTCTCTGCAGAAAATTCCCTTCCTGTGGTGGCGCCATGAGAAAAGTGTCCTGGAAAGGGAGAAAACTTGGGAAAAGGAGTAGCCCAAATGCCATTTTCGTGCTTGTCCGGCAGGGGGCGCCGATGTCAAGCGTGCCGGCCGACAGGCGCGCCAGCAGATTATGCAATGATGAGGGCGCAGGCTCCAGCGCCTGGGGATGCTGACGACGCAGGCCTGAGCCGGGAAAAGACAGGCATGTCTGGGACCCATTTCCCCAGAGGAGAGAACGGACTCTCAGCAATCTTCTTCCTTCCCATGAAACCCTGGAAACCGCTTAGTTGCTTTTCTGGTTGATTTGCGGCTGCATACAGCTCTCAGCTGCTTGTGAGCTGGGTGACACTTGCTCAGGGCTCCTGTTTGTGTTCTGAAAGGGACTGCCCTGATTTTTTTTTTTTTTATGATTAAATAATAACGGTTATTATAGGCATCCTTTTCCGAACCGCCTCTGAATGCCTCCAGGGTGCTAGGGGCTGGACGGGCATGGTGTATCTTTTTTCTGCCATTTTTTATCCTCCCACCTGCAGTCAGGGGGTCCGACATCAGGCTCCTCACATCAGGCTCCCTGCTGCGCTAAGTACATCTTGTTTTTAGAAAGGAGAAGGAGGAAGAAAGAGAAATGTATTCCACCTAAGAGCAGAGACAGAGAAAAGCCAGCTTGTGTTCAGAGAATGAGCAGGAGTATGAAAATTGCCTGATTTTCCTAAATGAGCTTCATCTTGTCTTCATTTTATTGTTTAAGCCTTTGTTTTGTTAATTCCCTTCAACTGTATCAGTGATCTTTTTAAAAACTGTTCTAGAGAAGAATTAAAGAGGGAGATTAGAGGCATGGCATTCTTTCTGGTAGAGAAATAGGGCTGCTGTTTAATCCCTTTTCTCTCTTTCTTATAAACAAAATCATTAAATTTTCTAAAAGAAATTTGAAAGGTCAAAACCGGGCTTATATCATTGAAGACATAACTGTAGAAATTTTTGAAAACACACATCTAGGAAAAAAACAACAACAACAACACAAAATGCTCTTACAACTCCTTAACTTCAAGATAATGGTTATCACTTACTTTTATATTACATTTGTTGATGATATTTTTCCTGACATTATATAAGCTATGCTTGAAAGTGTTATATTATACATACTGATTAAAAATCTATTGTTTACCTTATATATCTATTGTTTCCCTTAAAATATCTTAATAATTCCTAATATTTGCATAGTATTCCTTTTCATGTCATGTAAATGTAACATAATATATTCCATTTACAAACTTTTGCAAACATCACTGGGTTAGTAATTTTTGTATATATTTATATTTTAATTCCTTAGGAAATATCCCTAGAAAATAAATAAAGATCAGTGGTTACTTGGAGATACTCAGTGTGTGTCTGCAATGCTCTTCCAAAAGCACTGTGTCAGTTTGTATTTTCACTAACAGTAGGAGCCAATACCAGTAAAGGTCCTTTTCTTGGGCTTTGTCAATTTTGTAGGTTACAAATGTATGTCATTGTTGTTCTCATTTGCATTACTATGTTTTTTTTCCTCTTGAATTTCTCAGATTCTTAAGGATCTTTGGATCTTTCTAAAGGGCTTAGATTCCATTGTAAGCAAAAAGGGAAATGTGGCATTTAAGACATCTGAGATTTCCTGAGACAGTATCAGTTGCATAAACATGTTTTATAGCCACACCAGACCTGCACTGGATGGAATGTTTCTGTCCCCCGACCCCAATTTATATGTTAAAATCTAACTCTTAATGTGAAGGGATTAAGGAGTGAAACCTTTTGGGAGATAATCAGAGTAAAGCACCCTGAATGGGATGAGGGCCTTATCAAAGAGGCCCCAGAAAGCTCCCTTGCCTGGTCCTTTGTGAGGACATAGTGAGAAGACAACCATCCATGATCCAGGAAGTGGGTCTGCACCAGAAACCAGATCTTTCTATGCCTTGATTTTGGACTTCCCGGCCTCCAGATCTGTGAGAAATCAGTTTCTGTTGTTTATATAAGCCACCCAGTCTATGGTATTTTGTTATAGCCATCCAAATGGAACTGTCATGGCAATTTAAGCTGATATTATTCTTAAATATGATCACTCAACTGTGATGATTAATGCTCAGTAAGTCTAAATGCATGGACTCTGGGGATGTTTGCTTTCAAGATGGCCTAACGTGAGTCAAAACTATAATGTGAAAAAAGGGGATGAAGTTGAGAAGTTGTTCTGCACCTTATGACTCAAATTCAGGAAGTGGATTCCATGTACAGGTACGCATATGTCATCTTGTCATGTGCAAATGTGCAAGAGTGTCCTTGCATGTGTTGTCCCTCCTTATTTCAACTGAGTATGAAAGCAGCAGTAGGACCTTGTGCTAAGAAAGAGACAATTAGGAGATAACTGTGCTTTAGAGAGGCAAGTCAATTTACCAAACCACCAATTTACTGAAAAACAATTTACCAAGTATCCAAGTCAATTTACAGAACCACCAATTTACTGAAAAAACAAATTTGCCAAATGCCCAATTTACAAAATTTTAAGGATGTTTAGGAAATGTTAGTTTCACGCTTGCCTTGTCCTTTCCTTTGCTCCTGTCTCCAGGATTTCCCAGGGATGTTTGGTTACAGAGGCAGGGGCAAGGAAAGGCCAAGGTAGGGGCAAGAACTTAACAAAAACTTACAAACAAAACCCCTTTGTACCCCTTCAGATCACACTACTGATCAAAAATAAGTAAATAATAATCATTGCCCTCTCCACTTAGATATGCCGCTGGGGTGAATTGCCGTCCATTTGATTCATCATAGGAAAGGGGTCTTGAAAAGTTCCGAGGCTGGCAAGAAGAGTGGGGCTCTCATAGAGATCTGGCCTCTGAACGGTAGACAAAGAGAGGAGCAGAAACACTGCACTGGGATCAGCTTCCTCCTGGGATTTCCTTTAAGAAAACAGTATATCCCATTCTTAGCTTGATTACATTTTAAACATTCTTTTCTACTGCTGTAGGCTTCATAGCTACTAGACTTGGAAGGATTAAAGGTGAAGGGGGATGGTAAGGAAAGTAAACCCTAGATGAAAATCATCCTCTAACATATTGAGTCATAGCAAATATCCAAAAAGCTCATATTATTTGTGGTGCATCATTATGGCTTCTGCATGGGAAATGCCAGTTTCAATAGATTTACAATATATAGGGGAAGAAAAATGTATTTACAGAAGCTTCAACACAGATTGTTCAGTGTTAAATGCTAGGGTTCTAGAACTGGTCAAAACTTGACCAGGTCACCTAGGATGTTGGCAGAAGTAGCATGGGAAGCAAACTTGTGAAACGGGTGCTGAAATGATTAAGGAAGGTGGAAGAATGAGTGGAAGATAGTAGAGGGTGCACTAATGTATGAACTGAAACATAAAAGAGGAAATAGAATCGAGTAATGGATGCAGAACATTTTTATCTATCATGTTGAAAATCCAGCAAAATCTGAAGAGTTGGTACCTGTTTAAAGTCAGCTCTTTAGAACTATAGAAGCTGGGTTGATTTTTCTGCAGGAAAAATCTAGATTTGCTCTGGACTGAGCATGAAAACATATTAATATATAGACTTTTAAAGACTCTTACTGCTGTATTACAGAAAGATAGTTGAGGTAGACAATAACATAATTAATAAATAATTAGCAAACTGCTCATGTTCCAATTTTTGTGTATGCTTGATCCACATTCTGCCCAACAGTAGAACAGTAAAAGTGCCCATTCACACTTTACCAAAGGCAGCATCACCTTTGATCTATGAAGCATTTTATTTTAAACACAACTTACTGTTACAATTTTGCTTGGTTGGGAAATGGCCTTTCCATATATCACTCACTGCAGAGCAATCCAATTTTCTTGTAATATCCATCTGGTGTTTATATCCATCTCTTGAAATGTAGGAGCTATTAGAATTAGATCAGAAATATTCCATGTAGAATGGCAGAGATTCATGTCACTGACAATTAAGAGAAAGAAAGTAGAGGAAAGAGATGGAATGGACTCCCTTATAGAATTTTGGAAGGCCCATACTGTATCCTTCTGAATTCATCAATTACAAAACAAACTTTGAGGTTCTGAATGCTGGTCACTGAGGCAGTAAGGGCCCTGACCCACTCTGATGTAGACTATGTGGTCAGTTTCTCTTTGGAATCAGTAGAATAGCTCAATCGATTATATGGGTCATTGCAAAATGCCCCCCTCAGCACTTATCCCAATTGTTTATTGACCGTAGGAATTTATTTTTTAAGAAGAATAAGTCTTCATATTTCAGTTAGAAATAAAGTTGAAAGAAAAATATGTGGGAATGGAGACCCGTTGCTGAAAGATCAAAAATGGCTCTACAAGGTGGGCAATGGAACCTTGTCTAGGAGCTGGTTTCCTGCAGAAAAATGAGCTCAAGTGTACATGCCACAGGCTACTCACAGCAAAGAGAAAGCAAGAGCTTGAGGCACCAAACCCATCTGGGCACTTTTTACTTTCTAGGAATTCAGTAAAGTCCAATTTGGCAAAACTGTACTTATTCAATAGCACCAATATGAGAATTTAAGTTTGAGTTTGTGAGGGACTACATAGTTTGTATTTGAAAATCAAGTGTTTTTAAAATTCTTTCCAGGTCAGATTCTTGTGCTGCTTCTGGCACATGCCAGTCTCCAGCAGGAGTTAACCAGAAGCGTCATCTCATTATAGAATGGTGATATCAGCAAGTAAGAAGGGAACTTCAAGCTCCCTTGGTCCAGCCTCCAAAGCTGATAGGGGAATTCGTCCTACAAGATCCCTCTAAGGTGGCTATCCAGCATCTACCTGTGTTCATCCAGACCTGAGCTGCCTGAAATCTAGAGAAAAGCCCATGTGCTGTTTGATAGTCTCCATTTTAGGAAACATTTTTCTTTTCAGATCAAGTATGCTTTTGTATAACTTTGACTGATTGGTTCCCTTTATTGACCCAGAAAACACTGGGCTCCCTTTGGCATCCATGCCTTTGACTAAGAGTCAGCCATGAATAGAAAGAGCACTGGAGTTACTTTCTGGACATCCAATTTGTTCCTTCTCCACTCCACTGCAAATCAAATGTGTGACCTGTGCTCAAACTCTGTTAGCCTTTTCCTTCAGGTTTCATTTTCTTTTTTCTGTCCTTATAAATTTCTTTTTAAACCTCTACATCTGTAGATTTCTAGCAGATTGTTTTTGTAAACAGAAATATTTTAAATTAAGAGATAAATTTTAATTTTTACATTTTATTACAGAAAATTTGAAACATACACAAAAGTAGATATAATACAATAATGAATGCCCTGCCTGTACCTACTGCCCAGCTGTGAATAGATCCACTTGTGGGCAATCTTCTTTCATCTTTATCTTCACCCCAGTTTTCCCTCCCTGGATTGCTTTGAAGCAAATCCTATTTGGATGACTCTACAATTTCACCCATATGATTCACTATTTCTCTAAAGCATAAGGACTCTGACTTTTTAAAAACCACAATACCATTGTCATGCCCCCTGCCAAATAAAGCTAATTCCTAAGTATCTTAAATTTTCTAGTGTTCACATTTTTCCTCCCTTTGATCCTTTGAATCAGGATTCAAAGGTGATCGTACTGCTACACTTTCTTAATACGTAACTTAAGTCTCTTTTAATCTGAAAGTGCCCTATCTATCTCATTTTTAGTTTTTCACTAAAATTTTATTTGTTGAAGAAACGAGATTATTTATCCTGGAGGGATTTTTTTTAGTGTCTGGTGTTTTCTACATCACCATCATATTGTTAGTATTTCCTTTGTCACCTGGCAGAGGCAAAATTGTTGTATCTAGAAATCTGAAGAGATTCCAGCTCAGGAATAGGTCCCAAGAGACGTTGTGTGCTTCTACCAGGAGGAAAATCCTATCTGGATACCTCTCTTTTTGTAATTTTCAAGCCATTGATGACTTTTACTTAAATTTACTAATACAACAAAGTGGCACATTTGAATTATATCATTCCTCTTTATTTTTATTTTTTTTGTCAATTATTTGCTTATTCTGAAATGCAATTTATATAGGTAAAGCAGGTAGATGCTTCTTTACCTTTATTTACCAGATGCCAAAATTACTAGTTCCCTAATATCCTCATCAAGAAATATGATAAGAGGTTTTAAAATATTATTATGAACTGATGAATACAGGTAAATTTGATGTTTTTTATTTCATTGCAATTATTATCCTCCATAATCCTCAGCTTGTCCCACCTTTCACTAGTCTGTTTCTATTTGAACGGCTTCTTCAGTTCTTTTCATGTAACTCAAGTAATCTTTGATAGTTTCCTTCCTCTCTGGTATACCAAAATTCCAGGTTGTTGTTTTACATTTCCTAATCCCATATGGGGAACCAAACATTCCTTTCTAAGGAGATCAGTTTTATTTTAGTAGAAAAATAAGTTTTAGAGACCATAGTCTGAATTCTGAAGGTGCTGGCTGCTCTGGAATTAATCATTGTTTGTAGGTCTTTAAAGATGAAAATACATCATGAGTTCACACTGATTCTCCTTAAATCCAGACTACAAAGCTGGATTTACTTAGAAACATATATGCACACACGTATTCATACCTTTATGTATGTGCATATGTGTTTCTTGTGTGTATATCCTTCTGTAAAACTGAAGAATCCATTATTAGCACTATCCTACTTTTATTTTATAAGAATCCTACAGTCTCACATTAACTATGCCTACTCTAGCTTCTATAATAAATATTAAAAACAGTTTAAGATTTTGTTGTTATTCCTTAAGGAAGAACAGACATCAATGTTTTCCAGAGTCATGTGAATTATTTTCTTCCTGTGTAGTAACACCATCAGCTAGATGCATAGTTAATATCATTTTTTACATTTTCCTTTCAGTTATAAATGAGATTATACTTTTAAATATCACTTTATTTCATATTTAATAAAATATTTATATGATTAGAAAGGTACATGTGTAATCAAACTATATTCAGAAAACTCTAACATCTATCCTTGTAAATTCCTTCCCTCTTTATACAGCATTTAACATAATTTTTGGGTTTTCTTTCTAATTTTTAATAAATGAATATATTCATCTCTTTCCTCATCCCCGTCCAATAAACCTTTCCTAAGTAAAAGGTAGCATGCTATGTAAAGTTGTCTGCACACTGCTTTATTCACCTTATATCACAGAGATCTTTCAGTAGAGTATATAAAAAATTTCTCATTCGATTTTATAATGCAGTGGAGTGAGTATACCAGAGTTTATTCAATAAGTGCCTTATTGATTAATTTGGGGGTTGTTTTCAGTCTTTTACTTTTGCAAATTATTGTGCAATGGAAAGCTTTGTCAATTGGCATTCATTTGTTCAATCTTCTGCTTTTTAAAAAATTCTCATTAGTGAATTTTTGTAATGTCTTAGAAGTGAAATTTCTGAATCAAAATGTAAATTCATATGTAAGTTTTCAAAAACAACTGTCAATTATTGTGATATTGCAAAGTATTGTCTCTATTAGTCTTGTGCTACTTAGCATTCTCACCATTCTTTCAGGAAATGAACTGATGATATATCAGTTATAGAATAAGTGTTTAATGAGACTACTGCATTTTCATGAGCCTTCTCTTTTCCAGGCTAAACTTATTCTAATCCTTCCTTTCAAGCTCAATAAATATATCTTCTATATTCACAGTCATTAATAAAAATTTTAAGCAAAAACAAATCAAGTAAGAAACTTTGGCAAGTACCAGCAGACTTCCCTCCCAATTGGTGTTAACTGAGCATCTTGAATTTATCTAAATGCATATCTCACATTCCTCCACCCTATTGGCATAAAATTGTATACTACAACCTTATCTTTACAACTACATTGAAAGACAGTGAAAAATACTAGGAAAGATAGTGAGCTCTGAACTCACGTGAGTTTCTATTCTTTCTTCATTGCTAAATAATTATGTTTCATTAGATCAAGTCCATTATTCAAATATTTTTGCCTCCATTTCATCATTTCCAATATAGAGAGTTTAATAGAACCTGATGCAATGGCTGTGGAACATAATTCATAAAAAATACTTAAAACAGTATCTAGAATCCTCTAATAATGTTAGTTACTAAGTGAAAGCTGGTAATCTAATAACAAGGTCCCCCAAAATGAGGGTGACTTGGCAATAATAATTCCTATGGAATGTGTCTTTTCTCCTTTAAATCACCATTTCTATCTGTAAGTACATTCTAGGAGATGGAATTCCTTTAAAGTTCCCCCCACCTTGGATTTATACCCACATATACATCCTGCTCTTAAAATCTACTTATAATCCTAATTGATTAAGTTCAGCTGCATATAACATATAACATTCCTCAAAATAACATAATTTAATCAAAATACAAATTTTTTTTCTCTAATGTAAAAGAAGTCAGAGGTAGACGGTTTAGGCTGGACCACGACTGCATTGCAAGACTACAGAAGCCAGAAGAGCAAAGACAAGCAAAGACCCCTTTTCTTAGCTAAATACTTTCAACCCAAAAGTCACATTAACACCTGTTGTTGTATTTTATTGCCCAGAATATAGTGACAAAGTCATATCAAGGTGTAAGGGAGGTTGCAAAATGTATACTTTTCTTTGAATTACATTGTCCATCCTTGCCAAATAAAGTCAGAGTTCTGTAATAATGAAGAAAAGGAGAGTCACTAAGGGGTAAGGCAACTAGGTGTCTCTGCCACCATATTTTTGTGTATTTGGATCCCTCTGTATTTTTTCTGTTTCATCGCATATACCAGCAACACAAGAAATAACTTCCTATTTGAACAGTGACAAAAGTCCTCCAAACTCTAGAACCCATGACAGGAACTTGGTGACCCTAGAGATGCTGGAGTTAGTTACAAAGGTGAATAAATAGTACCAAACTCCAATCTTTTTGGAAAACAC